ACAGAGCTGGCGAAGCATAGTGGCTGAGAAACTGAGCTATGAATCAGGAGGCCTCAGGTAGATATTTTTTTTCTCTGCCACAAACTCACTAGATGGCATTAGGTCATATCTGCACCATATGTTTAAAGGACATTTAATGCACTTTTGAAGCACATGGCTTCCAACAACAACAAAATCCTGGGAACTGTAGTTTACCCACAACAGAACTATAATTCCAGGCACTCTTAACATACTAGAATTCCCAGAAGTCTGGGGGGGGGGGGAGCCATATGCTTTAAAAATGTACTGCATGTGTTTTAAAGGTATGGTGTAGAATTATTATTTTTATTTATTTATCCACCCTTCACTCTAAGGTCACAACAATTTAAAATACCGACAGTTTAAAAAGCAACACAGAAAAAAGATTCTCTCTCTCTCTCTTGCATAACTCATAGACATCCTGTTGAAGCTGAATGTTGGAAGGTTTAGGACAGACACTGCCCAGAAGAGGCAGTGATGACCATCAACTTGGATAGCTTTAAAAGGGGGGATAAGATATAATATACAGCGGTACCTCTGGTTAAGAACTTAATTTGTTCTGGAGGTCTGTTTTTAACCTGGAACTGTTCTTAACCTGAGGTACCACTTTAGTTAATGGGGCCTCCCGCTGCTGCCGTGCCACTGGAGCACGATTTCTGATCTCATCCTGAAGCAAAGTTCTTAACCTGAGGTACTACTTCCGGGTTAGCGGAGTCTGTAACCTGAAGTGTTTGTAACCTGAGGTACCACTGTATAACACTGGTCCTGAAAGACCTACATTGGCTCTCAGTATGTTCCCGAGCACAATTCAAAATGTTGGTGCTGACCTTTAAAGCCCTCAACGGCCTTGACCCAGTATACCTGAAGGAGCGTCTCCACCCCCATCGTTCAGCCGGAACACTGAGGTCCAGCTCCCGAGGGCCTTCTGGCGGTTCCCCCCACTGTGAGAAGTGAGGTTACAGGGAACCAGGCAGAGGGCCTTCTCAGCAGTGGCCCCCACCATGTGAAACGCCCTCCCATCAGATGTCAAGGAAATAAACAACTATCTGACTTTTAGAAGATATCTGAAGGCAGCCCTGTTGAGGGAAGCTTTTAATGTTTGATGTTTTATCACTTTTTATTATTACTATTAATATTCTGTTGGGAGCTGCCCAGAGTGGCTGGGGAAACCCAGTCAGATGGCGGGTGGTATAAATAATAAATTGTTGTTGTTGTTGCTGTTGTTGTTAATACTAATGCAACCCTGATGGTTATGTTCTACCTCCACTGTGTGAGGAAGTGTGCCCTTAAATACCAGTTGCTGGAAACTGCTGGAGGAGAGAGTATTTTTGTGCTCAGGTCCTACTTGTGGGCTTCTTCCCTTGGGCATCTGGTCCACCACTGTGAGAACAGGATGCTACAGTAGATAGACCACTGGTTTCTGTGTTTCCTTCTGAATGACGTACAGCAGAAGCTGTGGTGTATTTATATGTGCCTTATTTAAACATATATACAACCAGAGCCTATGAAGGGGTTCCCAGCATTAGCACACCAACGGGGCCTTGGTTTCCCCATAGCCACAGCCTTGGATTCAGACAGAAATCAAACACTGCTCTGACTCTTTCTGGTTTCCCAGCCTGCTGCTTTTCTTCCAGCTTCTAGCTCATATCACTCAACTCTCTGCTCTCAATTCTACCTTTGTCCTTCTGATCCCCTGCAAGGTGAGGGAGGGGGCCTCACCCAGTTTCTGTCTTGCGCAGAGCCCCTTTCTTTGTTCCCTTTAATGGCCCATTACCCAGGTAGCACCTCACCAAGAAGCTAGCTTGGCTATTCCAAGAATTAGAAGGGGCCCTTAAAGCTATGGTTTTCCCAGTAGTGATGTATGGAAGTGAGAGCTGGACCATAAAGAAGGCTGATCGCCGATGAATTGATGCTTTTGAATTATGGTGCTGGAGGAGACTCTTGAGAGTCCCATGGACTGCAAGAAGATCAAACCTATCCCTATTCTTAGGGAAATCAGCCCTGAGTGCTCACTGGAAGGACAGATCGTGAAGCTAAGGTTCCAATACTTTGGCCACCTCATGAGAAGAGAAGACTCCCTGGAAAAGACCCTGATGTTGGGGAAGATGGAGGGCACAAGGAGAAGGGGACGAAGAGGACGAGATGGTTGGACAGTGTTCTCGAAGCTACAAACATGAGTCTGACCAAACTGCGGGAGGCAGTGGAAGTCAGGAGTGCCTGGCGTGCTCTGGTCCATGGGGTCACAAAGAGTCAGACATGACTAAACGACTAAACAACAACAACAGAAGGGCCCCCGGCATTCAGCCTACTGCCTCCCTTGAAAGCAAACACAAAACCTAGCAGTAGGTATGCATGTATTGGGTTTTAATTCAGTTTTATTCTGAGTTAGCTATTGGTTCTTATTTTTGCAGCCGCCTTGAATTCCAATCTGACAGAAAATAAAGCCCTTTAAGTAAACAGATTAATAAGTAAATAATAGCAAGGAGGTACTGAGAACGCTGGGAAGGGGCAAGCTAGGTTACACATGAAATGCATGGTTATATTTCATGTAACTGCTACGTGGGTGCTGCCGTTTTGAAAAACAGCACCCACTAGGGGTGTGTGCAGGGAACTTCCTGCACCCGAATATCAATGGAAAATTCCCTTGAAGCTGCTGTAAGGATGAGCGATCTGGGCTGGGCTGAAAGGAACTGCACTTCACAGCCCAGCACCGCAGTGGGGAGGAAAATCACCCTGGCCCCTCTTCAGGAGATGGATATGAAGAGGGGGTGATTTCCTTGTGGTGATGGGAAGGGAAATATCCCTCTTTTCCTCTGTGGTTCTACACAAACCTGATGAGGAGTAGGGATGAGAGGGCACTTTCTTGTGTATACAATGGGTGTGTACTCGTGTGTGTGTGTCTACATGCATACTCTGGTTTATATGTGGTGTGTGTCCTGCCTTGGCATGTATGAGGTGTGTGTTTAGGGGCGTGCAGGGGCGTCTTACCCATAGAGGCTAGTAGCATGGAGCACCAGGGCACCAAGTTCTGGAGGGCTGCAGGGAAGAGGCGGAGGCTGGATGCGGCACCTCCCAGCATCAGTTCACCGCCCTCGCCCACCTCCACCATGCTATGCCGAAGCAGCACCGTGCCCGGAGCCTCCGCCTGCTGTGGCCACCACTGCACAAAGCGCCTAGCTGAGTCAGGAGGTGCCGCGTCCAGCCTCCGCCTCTTCCTCGCCAGAGGAGCCACCCTCCAGCTGCTGCCTGTCTCCTCCAGCCCCACTGGTAGCACCGTCCTCCCTAAAAAACTCTGGTAAACGAAGAGGGAGCTTTGCACCACAGTGCCGGATATGCTTAAGATGGCCCTGAGGGCATGTGATGCTTGTCTTTGTGTGCTCTGGTGTATGATCCCACTCCTGCTATACTTTCATGAATTGTTCTGAGTGTCTGCTC